TAGATATAGATAGATATAGATAGATATATATAGATATATATAGATATATAGATATATATATATATTATATATTATATAGATAATTTGTTCCCAGATGAAACAGGTCTGAGAAAAGACATTTCCTTTTTTATTATTTTAGGCTCATTGGTTTAGACATTTCAGGTTTTTTTCTTTTTTTTTAAATTGATGTGCTGAATGCTCTCTGTGCACTGGTTTTGCTTTAAGGCCAATTTTGCTTCCATAAAGCATATTATGATATAATCCAACAAGAATGTGTTGCCATGAATTTTTTAAAATGTACTGCAGATTCTAAATGACGATACAAGATGCTTGCTACACACATTTAGCTGCTGTGAGCCAAAGCAAATGATCCTATTGGACAAAAAGGAATCAGTCTGCCATGGCAGAGAGTCACAGAAAGCCCTTTCACATGAGTCTGGACCTTATTCTTTTCCTTAATTCCTGGTTTTGTTACTGCTCTGTTTCAGGAGCTTGTAAAGAAATAATAGTAAAACAAGTTGGCCGGTCAGTCTAACACTGTGATTAAGCCAATGTAAGTTTTTGACACATCAACTTTCAGTTTGTTGAAGAGCTCTAGACTTTAATCATCCTTTTTTTTTATCATGTTTACTTCCTTACACTTAATAGAAGTGTCAAGATTCACATCCAGTTGCACCAGTTTTCTCCCAGATTTCAATTTTCATCCCTCCTATTAAGCTTGACCAGGTGTGACCACACTTTTTCAGCCTGCGAGCTACTTTTAAAATAGCCAAGTTTACACGAGAACAACTTTTGGAAACGTTAGTGTTCTTTCGATGTTTATTGAGGGTAATAAACAAAAATATGAGAGTGGGTTTACACAAAAAACGCTGTAGTTTCCATGTCAGTCGGGTTGCCAGATAAAAAATCATGAACTATTGTGCTATGGCTTTAAAATGATAGTATTTTTACCTAAACTGTCCTATGTGCCGAGTAAAGTTATTCCAAGATGAGGTGTGTGCTGTTTGTTGAACTTGCACAGAAAAGGAGGGGTAAATTGGATATTTTGGGGAGTGGTAGCGCAGAGGTTAGAAGATGGGCTTGTGATCGGAAAGTCACAGGTTTACCTCCCGGTACCGTCAACATCAAAATGTGGGTGGAAAAGGTGAAACACCCACACCTCCCTCCACCCTCATTCGCCCCACTCTGGGCCCCTGAGCAAGACCCTTAACCCCCACCATCTGCTCCCTATACAGGTCTCTCTTGAAAATGAGTTCTCGTGGCTCAATGAGACTACCTGTATAAATAAAGGTTAAAAAAAAAAATAAAAAAAAAAATTAAATTTATTTGGCAACCCTGATGCTGGGCTCAGCTGCATTCATTCTGCATGCAGCATCCGCATGATCACAGTTACTTCCAAATTGACGTCTTTTTGGAACTGGATTTTATTAGTTTTGCTCCTACATGCTGAAGGGTGAGTGGCACAAAAACGCTCTGCTCTCTGCCATTTATTATAACTGTTGTTAGTGCAGAAAAACTTTGAATAGCAGCCATCTGTTGTGCACATGTGTGACTTCACACACTGAATTTCACACCTTCTGGGGGGGTTGGGGTTGGGGGGGTTCCCCTGAAAATCTCCACTCTGAGACCAGATTTGAGAGAATGTGCGCTGTGACTGGCTGCCCTGTATATCAGTCAAGTGACAGATTTCGTAGTGAGGATGGATGATAGGCTGACGTCTGTTTTTTGAGTGCCATGGGATCTACCCATAATGCCTTTGCGATCGACTGGTAGATTGCGTTCTACGTATTGGTCACCCCTGTGCTTGAGCATGTAAGTGGTTGATCCTTTTGTTTGGAGTTGTTTGCTCAACTCATCTTGAGTTATTGGAATTCTTGGGCCTTTATGCACGTTTAAAACTTCTCCAAATAAATCATATTCACTTTGGAACATAAAACTGTAGAAATAAAGACACTGAATGGTTATCAGAACACAGTGTCCAGACAGCTGCTGGCTATGAAAACACACTGAATCTAACTTTCTTTCCCATTACCGCCGTTCTCCCCTCGTTTCTCTTTTACCCTCCTTTCCATTACCTTTCACCCCCAGAGCTCTAACACTGATTGATTCACTGATCTCTTTGAATGTAGAATCAGATCTTTGTCTTGCCAGCAGTTTCCCTGCAGAGACAGATTTCCAACATCACTCAGAGTCTGGCCAAGTCCTCTGAACAAACACACATGGATCTACTGTCTTTTTTTCCTTGAACACTTGACATGTCAGGAGTTATAGTTTGTCTATCTGCTGAAAATGAGCAGATTCTGACCTAAAGGGCTTATTTTTAATCAAAAACTAATTTCTACTTTACTTTATTGACACATTACTGTTATCAATCTTTTCTATTGGCGTATGGCTTTCCTTTATACCAGTTTCAGCCCAGAATGCCATGGCTAGCTGCAGTTCTTGGCTCTAGACTAAAGGTCTAGAGGATCAGTGATGGAGAGCACTCACTGTATGTGCATACCGGTACTTGAGGTCCTGGTTGTACTTCAGCGATTGTTACATGACTGGATCTAATGTCTGGTTTTTGGTAGTTTAACGTTTTCGTAATCCCTGTTTGTGTGTGTTTTCTAGACCAGTTTCTGGGTGGTACGAGAGATCCTCCACGCTCAAACTTTGAAGATCAGAGCTGAGGTGCTGAGTCTGTACATTCGGACTGCCAAGGTATACGTTCATACACTCAACACGGCTTTACCATTCAGTTTCCCATGGATATTTGCTGTGTTAATTTAATTAAATGTATATTTAATGTCCTTTGTTTATAGAAACTGTGTGACATAAACAACCTGCATGCAGTCATGGCTGTGGTGTCGGCGTTACAAAGTGCGCCCATCTTCAGGCTTACCAAAACATGGGCGGTAGGTGTAGATTTGATTTATCACTATCAGTAAACTGAAAGTTAATGAAGGATTGTTGAGAGCACTGGACACATCCATAAAGATTTACAAAAACTACTAGTGACACAATAAAGCAACATCAACTGTGCAGACCGTTCACTTCATTACATGAGATGCAGAGATTTCCCTCCTAGGGTTCTAACTTGGGAATAGTGTCAACAAGACCAAAAAACAAATCAAGTTTATATTTCGCAAAAATAACGGTTTTCAAAGTGTTAATAATTTTATAACTTCAATTAATTATTCACGAGTTTTTCCTCACTGCAGTGTATTCTTTGCAATGTCTCAAATAACTTGCATTTGGAGAAAAGAACACTTTGGTTTTGAGTGAGTTATTTGCAACATTTGTCATTTTTGAATGAATGTCATCCAATAGATGATATATAATATAATAGATAGTATAAAAACATAATAGTTTTTGCTTTGATTCTGTCAAATCTGTTTGTCTAGTTTGCCTGTTATTTCCAGTCTCACAGCTTTTAATGCTGAAGTCCATTTAGTGACAAAAAATAGTCCATAAATTAGATCAAAGTTCATGCTCAATAATCCAGTTAAAAAATCCATCAAAGTTCAGTCAGGCCATCTGGACGGTTTCTTTCTTTTTTTATTTTATTTTTTTGTTGTTGAGACATTTTGTCCTTCATCCAAAGGACTTCATCAGTCCGAGGAGCCACAACAAACCGAGTCCCACAAGCAGCACACTCGCATAGTGGACCAACCAGTTTGTTGGTGATAAGATGGTTGGTCCATTATGTGTGTGCTGCTTGTGGGACTCGGTTTGTTGTGGCTCCTCAGACCTATGAAGTCCTTTGGATGAAGGACGAAACGTCTCAACAACAACAACAAAAAAAGAAACTGTTCAGATGACCTGACTGAAATTTTTTGGGATCCATAAATTAAGAGTTTTCAAGCATAACAAACGTGAAACTGTTAATGTTCATCAGTCAAAATGCAATTACAGCATACTTCTACAACAGTAATAAAATTACTAAACGTTGACACTGAAAGGGTGTTTTTGTTTTTATATACCGCAACGGTTATATTCATAAAGGTGATATTTAAAAAAATGATTGCTCTGGTAGTTCTTTGCACAGTACAAAATAACTTAAAAAAATTGCCATTTTTATTTGGCAGCACGATGGCTCAGTGGTTAGCACTGTTGCCTCACAACAAGAAGGTCTTTGGTTCAGTCCCCGGTTGGACTGGGGTCTTTCTGTGTGGAGTTTGCATGTTCTTCTCGTGCTTGCGTGGGTTTACTCCAGGTACTCTGGTTTCCTCAGAACAAAAACATGTTAGCTGCCTTCAGGCCCAGGCCTCCCTTGCAAAAGAGATCTGTGATCTCAATGGGATTTGCCTGGTTAAATAAAGGTCAATAAAAAAATCAGACTGGTAGATTTCTGCCTTTAAAAATGGCAATTTCATGCAAAATAAATTATATATTAAAGATTTCAGCTCGTGATCATTTAATACAATTTATTTTTCATATTTGATCATTTATTGCATTGCATTCATCACATTATGGTGAATAATACACCATCAGTCATCAGTCATATCATATTTTCAGTCATAATACACACCTCACACTGTGTGGTTCTAAATGTAAACAAGCTTGGCGCATAAAATTAGTCAACACCTTGTTTTTGTTTTAATTCTGCTTAGCATTGAAATCTGTAGATATTTATGATCAACTTCAAACACGTGAAACTGACACAGAGAACTTCTAGAGTTGAGAGAAAAACAAGTTAAACTGAGACATACATTCAGTGATGCATAGTGACAGGTTGTGGTGGTTCTGCCAGAGAGTCTCATGTTGCAAGTTTCCACTTTAATATAGAACATCTGTCAATACTTTCATATCTCGGCATTGGTGTTCAACTTCTGCATCTTCTCAATTATCCAAAAAAGTTCAATCTGGTCCTCTGGACATTCAAAAAAACAAAACAAAGCAAAAAAATTTAGATGCGTTTCGTCTTTCATCTGAAAGACTTCCTCGAAATCTGCATTCAACATCATCCAGACAGATTTGTTCCACCTCAAACTTGTCTTAAATGCCAACAAAACCAAAGGGATGCTTTTTTCAAATAGGAAGTTGGTCCCAGCAGTTCTTCCTCCGATTTTATCCTCAAATGGTGTCCCCATTGAGTTTGTTGATTCCTATAAATATTTGGGTAACTTGGTCGACTCACATCTCTCTTTTAAGCTTCGTGTGGAAAACTTGGTAAAGAAACTGAAAGTTAAACTGGGTTTCTTTTTCAGAAACAAATCCTGTCTAACCCTGAATGCCAGGCACCTTGTATCTGTGACTTTCCTTCCCTCCATTGATTACGGTGACATTATTTACATGAACGCTCCTACAAGAACCCTGCAGATGTTGGATGCTGTCTATCATGGTGCACTAAGATTCATAACTGGCTGTGATTATCGTACCCACCACTGCACCCTGTATTCACTGGTTAACTGGACATCATTAACTTCACGCAGACTCTCCCACTGGTACATTTTCATCTTTAAATCACTTCTTGGTCTGCTGCCTTCAAACATCTCCTCCTACATGTCTCTACGTGAGTGCAGCTACGGCGTGCGCTCTCAGGACATCATTACCTGCAGTGTTCCCTCAATGAGGACTGAACTAGGCAAGAGGGCCTTCTCCTACTCCGCTCCTGTTTCCTGGAATATCTTACAAAAAGATCTGAAGCTCTCGACCTTGACCTCTCTAAGTGGCTTTAAGAATCTGTTGGACTCCTGGCAGGGACCAATGCAGACATGTTCCTGTTTTTAGTTTTCTACATTCGCCTTAGAATCTAGCTGTTTTTTTGTTACCTTTTTCTTTTAGCCATCCTATTTGTTTAAAAAAAAAAAAAACTGGAGTATGACTTTTTATAATTGTTTATTGTTGTCACTGTTGTCCATTGTTGTCATCTTTCTTTGTTGAAATCAGGTCTCTTGTAAATGAGTCCTCGAGGCTCAATGGGATTTACCTGTCTAAATAAAGGTTGAATGAATGAGGTGCTGTATTCAGCTCAGTCTCTTAAATAGCTATTTAAGACACTGAGCTGAATACAGCACCTCAGACTGAGGAAGTCTTTTGGATGAGAGACGAAACGTATCTACATTTTTTTGCTTTGTTTTGTTTTTTTGTTTCTTTGAATGTCCAGAGGACCAGATTGAACTTTTGGATTTTTCTTCCTGGATTATTGAGCATGCATCAGGATACTTCTCAATTATCATTTAATAAAAGACAAACCATGTAGCTAATTGACCCACTGTCTTCATGAGTATTTCACTCATTTTATTTTAGAAGCTAATTATAATAGTTTAGTTGTAAAGTCTGCTTTTTTTTTTTTGTATATTTGTTAGCCCTGCTGTTTTGCTAACATGTTCAATGCTCACTCTTTTTGCTTTTCATTTTTGCCTGATAGTTACTGAGTCGAAAGGACAAGGCGACGTTTGAGCGGCTTGACTACCTGATGTCCAAAGAAGACAACTATAAACGTCTGAGAGACTTCATAAGCAGCCAGAGTATGGTCTCGTGCATACCATACCTTGGTAAGAGACAAACATATTTTACACATGGTTACCACTGCAGTTTTTTGGTCTTCAGAAGTTGCAAAATTAGCATTGGCTCATAAACTATACTTTTATGATGCATGATGTCTTCTGAGTTGTGTGAGGAAACTGCTTGTGCCCATGTGTGTCCTTTTACTGCTGCACTGTTTGTTCTTGTTTTGACTTGATTATGACTTTTTCTAGATTTTCCATCAGGCTTGTTCATAGCTGCTGCTGTGTGATTTAAACAAACGTGCCTAATTATGAACAGACACAAGCACAAAAACTGTGGGTCTGTTTGTTGTTACAGAAACTTTCAGCTGCCCGTTTCCCAGCCCTCCTTTGTCTTTGAAAACAATGACGTCAGACTGTCAGACGATTTGCAATGTTAGGGCAGTGAAGTGGCAGAAATTTGAGTTTCTTTGAGAAATTTGTACAAGAAAGGCAATACTTTCTTATGGAATGAACATTTTAAAGCTTTAAGTGCATGTATGTTGTGTGACCAGCTGTTATCAGGATCATAAATAGTTGGCGTTCTAAAAGTAAAATACCTCTTGTTTTCTTTGGAACATTTCCAATAATCATAAATTCACTTAATTTCCTGGTAAAGATCCAGAATCATGGTGCTTTTTCCAGAACATGTCTTCTAATGCTAGTGCCAGCTCTGTGTGCAATGAGTACTGCACATTTCCTATACTGTCAGCGTACAGAACATACTCTTTTGGGAGATAACCCCCACCCTCCCACCCTCACCCCGGCCCCCCAAAAAATGGTGGTGTCAGCTTGTGTCATGGGGTCAGTTAACAATATCAGACAGAGACTTTAATACGAATGCCAAAGCAACCTTGAACAGGAGATTTACTAGAATAACCCATTTCCACACATAAACATTGTAAACAGTCATAAACATTTTGCACATAATTGCCACAAGGCTACCCAGCATCCTTTGCAGCATGCACAGTCTCTGTAGGACGAGACAGTATTGTACTAAAATACAATTATTGCCATTCCACATTTGTACACATCTCAAGCTTGTTTAAAACATAGAGATACAGACGTACAGATATTATGATAAACTGCACACACTTGAAACTGACTCTCGGAGAACTTTGAGTTTGGGGAAAAATAAAATAAAGTACACCCGTCTCTGACCCCCCCCCCCCTCCCCAGCGTATGGTTTGTACATTTATGAACATAATGAAAACTTGAATCACCCATAATGTGTTTGTATGTACTTACCTCAGCAGGCACTAAAACAAAGGGCCTGAGATACTATAGAGGTACAGCCGACTTAGGACCAGAAAGTCACAGGTTCAACTCCCGCCATGTTCGCAAGTTGTGGTGTCTCTGAGCAAGACACCTAATCCCTAACTGCTCCACGGGCGCCTACATAGCTGCCCACTGCTCCACCTGGATGTTTCTCAGATGTGAGGGGTTAAATGCAAGTGGGGAGTGGTGGTGCAGAGATTAGAGAAGGTGGGCTTGTGATGGGAAGGTCACCGGCTCGACTCCCTGGACCGACAACATCAAATGTGTGTGAAAAAGGTGAAACATCCACACCTGCCTCCACCCTCATTTGCGGAAGGAAGAGGAAGAAAGTCAAAAATGGCATTTGCTTTAAAGAAATAATGTGTGAGGAGTATCTGAATGGGAAATCCACATGTTGACAATTTATCATTTAAGTACAAAAAATAAAAGTTAACTGTCAAATTCTACGTGAGAAATGTATGGACAGTAACAAAACATTACATTATGATTTTGTAGATTCTCAGTCATCAAGGACATGACAATTCTATTTGTTTTATTTTAAAGAAAAAATAACAACTTTTTTCATATTTTTCTGATGCGCACTATCACCACCTATTAGACTGGAGTGCTAAGCTAACGGGGGTGGGGTGGGGGGTGGAGTTCGGTGTCTTATCCAAGACAACCAAACGTGGACTGAAAAATCTGGTGGTGGAACTGTCCTAATGGTGCTTAGACTCTCTCCTCCTATGAACAGCCTCCCTTTCAAAAACATGCATCAGTACCTTCAGATGTTTGTGTTGTTTCTTCTCCAGAAATGGTTTAACTTTTTTCTGTGAGTGGGTTACTGTGTAATTTCTGACCTGTTATTAGGGTTATCCAGCGCAGCCCTCTCCTGCCTGTGCTCACTAAACTGCCAGCTCCTTTAGTGATCCAGTGAGCCATTTTGTAGTAAATCACATGAAAACAGAGTCCGTAGAATAACGGACTGCAAAACAAAATGTTTAGTGTGTTGTGCTTTCGCCTTGTTAAAGTGCACTTTTTGGCTGCCAAAACTGGAGTCACAATACAAACTCCAAATTGTAAATAATGGATTTAGTAAAAGTTATGATTCAGAATGTAAGTTAAATATATAAATCATAATGTAAAGGGGTGTTACACTTTTCAAAGAAAAAAGTTTTGCACTAGCTTAAGAAAAGTACACTGTCAAATTTTTTTAAAGTGATGAAGTATGTTGCTCTGCACCAGGATGACAGGAGCAAAAAAAAAAATCAGAAAAAGTAACTGGACATTTGCCCGTTTGGGGGGGCTGCATGAGCAGTTTGCTGAGTATTATGGAGAGGAGACCTTAGCAAATTTGTGGGAATGAAACCCATTCTCATTCACAGTGACACCCACTGCACTAACAGTGCAAGAGGAAGAGGCCTGTGTTGAACTGAACTCCAATATGGATGTGAAAAAGCACAGATGTTTAAAATGTGAAAAAGAAAAAAGAAAAATGTGTACAACAACCATTTTTTTAAAGTATGAATGAAACTTATGGTAACAACAAAAATCCTGACCTAGATAATAGAAATAATGTAGTTGGTGGAGGGAGGGGGGCACAGATGTTTGCTCTATGGCCACATGTGTATAAAATGAAGCACCTAGGCATGCAGACTGTTTGTACAAACATTTGTAAAAGAATGGGTCGCTCTCGGGAGCTCAGTGAATTCCAGTGTGGAACTGGTAGGATGCCACCTCTGCAACAAATCCAGTCGTGAAATTTCCTCGCTCCTAAATATTCCACAGTCATCTGTCAGCTGTATTGTAAGAAAATAGAAGTGTTTGGGAATGACAGCAACTCAGCCACGAAGTGGTAGGTCACGTAAACTGACGGAGCGGGGTCAGCGGATGCTGAAGAGCAAAGTGCGAAGAGGTCGCCAACTTTCTGCAGTGTCGATCACTACAGACCTCCAAACTTCATGTGGCCTTCAGATTAGCTCAGGAACAGTGCGCAGAGAGCTTCATGGAATGGGTTTCCATGGTCGAGCAGCTGCATCCAAGCCATACATCACCAAGTGCAATGCAAAGCGTTGGATGCAGTGGTGTAAAGCACGCCACCACTGGACTGTAGAGCAGTGGAGGAGCGTTCTCTGGAGTGACGAATCACGCTTCTCCATCTGGCGATCTGATGGACGAGTCTGGGTTTGGTGGTTGCCAGGAGAACGGTACTTGTCTGACTGCATTGTGCCAAGTGTCAAGTTTGGTGGAGGGGGATTAAGGTGTGGGGTTGTTTTTCAGGAGCTGGACTTGGCCCCTTAGTTCCAGTGAAAGGAACTCTGACTGCTTCAGCATACCAAGACATTTTGGACAATTCCATGCTCCCAACTTTGTGGGAACAGTTTGGAGCTGGCCACTTCCTCTTCCAACATGACTGTGCACCAGTGCACAAAGCAAGGCCCATAAAGACATGGATGGCAGAGTCTGGTGTGGTTGAACTTGACTGGCCTGCACAGAGTCCTGACTTCAACACCTTTGGGATGAATTAGAGTGGAGACTGAGAGCCAGGCCTTCTCGTCCAACATCAGTATGTGACCTCACAAATGTGCTTCTGGAAGAATGGTCAAAAATCCCCATAAACCAGGGGTGTCAAATTCCAGGCCTCGAGGGCCTGTGTCCTGCAACTGTTAGATGTTCCACTGGTCCAAAACACTTGAATCATATGACTGAATTAGCTTCTCAGTGCAGTCAAGTTCTCCAAAGTCCTGTTAATGACCTCCTTATTTGATTCAGCTGTGTGGCATCAGAGACGCATCTAAAAGTTGCAGGACTCCGGTCTTCGAGGCCTGGAGTTTGACACCTGTGCCATAAACACACTCCTAAACCTGTGGACAGCCTTCCCAGAAGAGTTGAAGCTGTTCTAGCTGCAAAGGGTGGACCAACGCCATATTGAACCCTATGGATTAGGAATGGGATGTCACTTAAGCTCATATGTGAGTCAAGGCAGGTGAGCGAATACTTTTGGCATTGTAGTGTGTGTGTGTGTGTGTGTATATATATCTATATCTATAAATATATATATATGCTTGGTACAAATACAGTAAAAAGAAAAAAACAAAACAATGTGACAACACTGAACATTTGACCTGAGTCCAATCACCGCTTTTAAATTAACTTTTAACACATAAAGCTAACGATACAATATTTACACACCAAAGCCAGCTCGGCCTTATACACAACAGATAAACACATAGATGGATGACTTTACTCTCTTTTAAGGGTTATGAAAAAAGCTCAAGTCAAAATAATAAAAAAACAAAACAAAAAACAAATACAGTAGATTGAGCATTTTTTTGCCTTCCATTGTTAGTTTTTTGCTTTACTTTTTTTTTTAAGTGTTTTGACATTGAAACTTTGAATTACATCAGTTATTTTTAATGTTGCTGCACATTTGATTATTCCCAATACTACTTGGTAAGATATGCAGTACACTATTTTTTTGGCTAACATTAGCTGCTCCAAAGAAATTCCATGTTTGTAGACGATGACCATTTCCCTTTTTTACATACTCTGTAATTAGAAATATGAGCGTAATGCTGCATGGTCTCAGGGAGCTGGAAAGCCATTACTGGAGAGCAATTACTTATGGATAGCAATGTGATCTGTCTTATTTGCAGCCACTGTACAGAACTGTGGAATTGTTATTGTCTAGACTTTGACTCATGCCCTTGTCTCTTTTCAACTGTCCTTTATAAGGCCCCATTATATAATTGCAGAAATTCATAAATCTGCCTTTTTTATAAATTATTTGTTGCCATAAAATCAAGCAGATTTTAAAAGAGCCACAGTTCTAGTTTTAGTCAATTGGTCGGATCATGAGGCGGACAGACTTGAGAGAATAAAACCCTCCTCCATAGTCTGCCCAGAAGATCCCATCTTGAAATTTACTGCGGTAAACTCCTCCATTGTACCAAACTCCATTCAGATTGGTCTGACCACAAGCATTGTACCACCAGCCACCCTTGTGGTAATGGGCACAATTGCCTAGAGAAAAGAAGAAAAAAAAAATCATCAGAAGATAAAACTGTCACTTTACAAGTTTACTTAACTAAAACAGTCCCCTACCAGTAAAAGCATCCTTATCACGATCGAGTGTGGTGAATGTTTTGCCGTTGTTACTGCTGAAGGAGTCTCCGGCGTTTCCTTGGTAGATCCCTAGTCTCAGCCTATAACCCTCGCTCTCTGATTCTAAGTGAAAGCTGCCGTACTCTGCGTACACTTTCTTCCCAGTCCAGTCTTCCAACTCTATCATCAGCTTGTAGTCGCCCTGTTTCGTCAAACTGAAGATATTCTCTAGCCCAAGCCAGTGTTCCCCATCGATGTTGCCAAATCCTTTCTGTAAAGAACAAACATACCGTGTTTACTGTAGTTGCAGTATGGTTTAAATTGCACTACACTTTAGTAGTACAAGCTAGATATTAGTTATTGTCACTAGTATAAGTAACAACAATAAGTAACTGGTGAATGAATACCAGTAATTATATTTCAACATTGTCAACAAAAGCAGTTTGTTTAAAAAAAAAGCTAAAATAAATAAATCAGAATCGATGTTATTGAAATGTTAGTGTTTTTAATGAGCTTGGTGCTTGCTGTCAAGTTCCAAAAGGTCAGCTGAGCTTCAGACTGATATGATAATGTGCAAGAGTTGTGATCTATGGCTTCTCCATTAAAAAATAGGTAAATGGCTATTTGACTGAGGCTAAATGAAGAGTTGAGTATAGCAAGTGCAAAGCTGCTCAGATTCCTCTACTTCTCTTAAAAAAAAAAAATCTACTGGTATGCACTCATGTCTTTTTTTCATTACTGCTCACAAGTTCCTATGCCCTGGATCTCATAAACAAAATTGGAAACCCAAGAAGAAAGATAGAGGAGATTATTACCAGTAGGGTTGAAAGCAGAACTGATTTTCTCTTAGTCTTCCTATTGCATTTATTTATATGTGCGTCCCTGGAAACACTTCTTGGCTGCAACTTCATTATGAGAACAGCCACTACTAAGTTTACACTATCGGAGCAAACTCTTTTTAATGACGAGGTAAGGGGGAAGAGTAAGAGCTATTAAACCAAATTCACCAACTTTTAGTGACTGACGCATACTTTTTTTCTTTATCTTTTGGGTGTATTGTGTAAAATATCCTGAACTTACTTTGTAGTTTTCCCAGTTTCTAAAGAAGTTGACTGAGCCATCTCTCCTCCTCTGCAAAACAGTCCATCCTCCATTGTCTAGACCGTGTTCACACCAGGCTTGGATTAGTCGATCACCGTTATCCGTCTTCAGCAGGTACATACCACTGGTGGTGTAGCTGGCCTGTCGTACCTGGTAACAGTCCTTAAAAGGACCTGGGGTTGGGCAGATGTTTGTACAAAACATAGCGGTTTGCAAAAGATTGAATGTTGAATAGTTTTACAAGGTTAAAAAAATGTGTGTGTATATATGTGTGTGACTGCTTTGGTATAATAGCTGTGCTACCTCAGTTCTGACTGTTATGACCAATAAATGCATTCTGAATTGTTGCCCTCTCGTAAAGGTAGTTTTTACAGACACAAGACACATTTTAGACACACACAGTTTGTTAACCTCTTAAGCCTCCAGTGTACTGCCGCGTACGTCTGTTCACGCGTACATATGCGTGTACTGTACGCAGAGGGTTCAGACTTTATACTCCAGCGTCCACCCTGAGCAGCTGCAGAGCAGCTTCACAGATGAGGGGCGTTTACCTTTGGGACAAATTGAGGTCACCGATTGGTCATTTGCTGACATGCCTACTGGATTGATTGACAGGTCAGAAAAAAGAAAAAAGCGAGCGCTGGCAGCCTCAGCCACAACGGTGTCCTGTGTTTATATGTTGTTAATAAAAAGATCTAAAAAAAAACAAACAAAAAAAACTGAGAGCGCTGGCTCTACAGCCCACACATCAGACCAGCCCACCAGGAAATCTCCAGACCCTCCCGCAGCCACGCTGGACCTGAGTTTAATTCGCTCGTGACAAATTCCTTCATTTGTCACCATTTTGAGTCATGGCATCAACGGAGGAGGAAGAGATCACTTGCTTCTTGGCAAAAAAAACCAAAAGAAAAAGCCAGATCAGAGATGAAGAAAGGGAATTTAATACATTGGTGTTGCATACAAAACAGTCCATCGCCAGGCAGTTTATTGTGCGACACCGTGTATGTGGTCGTAAAAATTTGAGCTTTGCACGGACATGCCCTGGGGGGTACGCTCGTACCTCCACGTACGTACTTGTGTACCTCTGCGTATGGATGTACGCGGCAGTATACTGGGGGCTTTACATTTATTAGATCTCCAGCTAGATTGAAACTAGTACATACCTTCAGAGGTAAGTGTTCCCTCGGGTGGGGGTGGATTAATCCCAAAGGGGTTTGCTGTAGGTGACTCTCTGCGTGATCCTCTGGGAAAGGCCCGGTTCTTGGTCACAATCTCATTGGTGAAACGGTTGTCAACTGGTAAATTCTCCGGCACCACCTGAACCAGAGGAGGAACTGGGGGTAGCTCGCTGCGTCCTAGCGTCCTCAGGCATTGCTCCTCCAGTGCAGAGATGAGAATGGACTGGTTGTTTACCACACCAGCCATTGTGGAAAATCTGGCCTCTAGCTCCTTGTACCTTGAAGCCAGTCGCATCATCTCTGAAGTCACATTTAGGACACGATTCTCCAGCTGGACTAGCTCTAAAGAGTTGTCTCTCTTTCTGATGATCTCATGCAACAGCTGCATATAGAGCTGAGTCACCCTGGAGTTCATGTTCCTGCTCTCTTTTCGCAGCAGCTTCATTTCATTCACCAAATTACCGTCTACCTCCACCACCAGCTGCAGTGTCTCTATCTCACGACGCTGTTTGCTGAGAACCTCCCGCACATCTGCGACATCCATACGGGTCACCCTGTCTTTATCTGGCTCAGGGCCAGTGGTGCTTGCACAGATTGGGCCTAAAAACAAAAATGGATTTATTTAGATTATTAAGAAGTTACTATTATGCTGTGCAAAGAAATATTTTTTGTTGTACTGAAGCTGCATTTCTAACAGTTAATTTTTTTTATACCTGTGATTCTCTGCTCTGGTACCAGGAAAGTATAGGAACACTTTTTTGCATCAAGTTCCACCGGAGCCCTTTTAGTCCTCTGAAGGGAAGGTTCTTTCCAGGTTTCCCTGGAGCTCCTGCAGTGACTGTCCTCCCAGAGGCTGAGGAAGAGAACAGCACACAGGCTCCAAGTCAGCTCCTGCATTGCTGCTGGTTGGCTTAATGGATTGATTGACAGCTACTGGGACTCCCTCTAGGCCTCACTGAAAAAACACAAGACATACAAGACAAGTTAACGAAACATGGACAATCTAAATACAGCTAACGAGGTTGTTTGCTTTCCCAGAGCAGACTTCCAGAAGATATCAGTGAGATAGTATTTGATACTTATTAAAATAGTACTAAAAACATGTGTTTGGTATTAAAAAAAGATGTCTCATTGCTGTTCTCTAAGTTTATGTGAAAATAATAAGTTTTTTTAATTTTTCCTTTTGCATGCACTCTTCTTCAGGGGTCGCCACAGTGAACTACCGGTAACTCACACTAAGACTTGATTGTTTTTATACCAGATGCCTTTCCTGATGCAACCACAGACCACCGAGCTACCACAGCCCTCTGTGTGGAGCAAAGAGCTGCCATCTAGTGCGCCCAGGGGAGCAGATGGTGGGAGTTAAGGGCCTTGTTTGGGGACTCGGAGGGCCATTGAGGGGGGACACAGGTGTAGGTGTTTCACCTTTCCCATCCACATTTTGATGTTGTCGGTCTGGGGAGTTGAACTGGTGACCTTCCAATCACAGGCCCACCTTCTCTAACCTCTGCGCCACCACTCCCCCAATGTTCAAAGAATGAAATAAAGGACCTTTTTATCACACCAACCATATTAGGTCTGCTTTATTTCTTGGAAAAATTCTCAACTGACACACTATTTTTACTTGTATTTTTTTAAATTAAAAATATCTTTTTTCTGCAACTTTACATAAAAAAATTCATGTAAAACACATTTTTTCATGTGCAATTTTTAAATACAACTACACATTTTTCTACAGGCTCACACATCAAAGTAACTTTTGCAACATATCTACCTTCATAATTCTTTGGCTGTCCCAACTCTTTCCAAAACTCTTTACAGTCACTGCGTTCGTCTGTGGTACATCACTATGTCGTACCTCCACCCTGTTTCTCAGGTCCGTGTGTCTTATAGGATGCCGTTGTGTTTTTTCAGGAATTCTGGCAGGTATGCCACTTGGAACAATGTATGTTAAGGACAGGTTTACAACTAGTACTGCAGGTTTTGTGCGTGCATGTGTTTGAACTTGTATTTTATATTGCTTTCGTGTTTGCACATCATTCTGTATGATTAAGTACTGTGTGAGCGACTGCCCAGAGACTTCATTCAATTTCATGGTAGTTTTCTCCCCCAGCAGCTAGAGTGTTTGACATTTAAGATGCTTTGAGGTCACTTTGTCATGGTGCTACAGAGAATACACTGTTGACACCAAACAAACAGAAATCTGTTTTCTATCTAAAAAAGTTTTTTTTTTTCAGCAGTAATTCATAACATTGCAGTTATTTAAGAGGACATGAAGAGTGCACACAGCTTTTTCTGACAGTGCAAGTGTGTTGCATCACTATACTAAGTAGAAATTGGACTGTATGAACAGAGTAATGCATTTAAAAATAAACTGGATATTTAATTTTGCCATGCTTGGAAAAGTATAGCAAGACTGACACTATTGCATCGGCAGTGGCTGAAGGTGAGTCTTGCCACCAGTAGTAGTAGTGCACATCTGGTGCTTTTTTAGATTCAGCATCAAGATATGAGTCTTATGTGAAGCTTTGAAATGCCAAAGTGGTGTTTTCTGAACAAGTTGCCCGTAATTTCTTATGCATATACACAATTTTTGAGGGTATGGTTTTTAGCTTACAGTAGAAATACTTTGCAAGTTTTCAAGTAGCATTTGAGCCATGTTTACAAAAACTACATGGGTTACACACAAGAAGAAAGTAAAGGCGATGGGCTATAAGGCAGAAACGATGCACAGAGAAAGAACAGCACAGAAGGTGGTAGATTAGCAGCGAAGGAAAATGGGTCATTGTTCTTTTTTTTCCCTTCTTGGACTAACATAACAAATCATAACAAAACAATCAGAAAAACTTCTCCCATTCTCAGTTTTTCTGCTCTTAGCCTAATGTGTATTTAATATGTAAACTCACTTCGCTCTCTTTCTTTTTGAATATCTCACTTTTTCATGTATTACTATTTTTAACTACAGTTGGAGACTTTTTGGAGACGTATGCTTGAAGCAGTGCTCTAAATAGGAGAAACTGATACAAAATTTCAACTCTAACCTTGTTTATTTGTGTTTGCCGTGCTTTACTGACAAACAGCTTATTTATTTTAATAATATTCATGTTCATACAGTGAAATCATGTCTGGAAAAAGGGATCTGCAGCAGCCAACTTAGCCTGGTTTGCTTTGACAACGTTTTTGAACTGAAGTCGTCTTTGTTGCTCCACTGGGTCCTCACTCAGCAGTAAATCTTGACTGCGAGGAGATGAATTAGATAACTTTTATAATTGCTCCTCTTTGTTTCTGTGTATGCTTTTTCCCCCACAGTTTTACTGCACTGTATTCTTCTAGTTATAACAAAACAGTCCAAATGTATAGCCTGTTTTCTTATTTTACCACACACACTCTTTAAGTTGAACATAGACACATTTGTTTCTCTGCCTAAACCAAATTAAACCATCTTCTTCCAAAAACTAATTTTCTGCATTCAGATTTGGGTGAACCACCATTGTGATTTGTTGTTTCTGAACATTGTGTTTATATTAATGGTTTCCTGTCTTTAAATGAACGTTCCATCTGTTTCATCATGAATACAACTTTGGTTTATTTATGTGATGATCATTTAGGAGCTGCCAGATTTTTTGGACTGATTCATACAAACAAAAACGCACTTTCAAAGTTGTTTTTCTCACCACATGTGCCCACTTTTGGCTCACATTCTTACCCATAATCACCAAATGTGAGTAGATGTCAAGTTAAATAACTTTTCATTTTGTTTTTGGTTTCCTTTTATTTTTTTTATGACTTTGCACTCACGGTTGAAGAAAAGCACGTTTCATTTAGTTGAGGTTTTTGTGTGGCAGCCAGTGGTGTGCATTAATCTTAATTAGCTTTGTGCCTGGGTAGGAAACTGCTGTAATTATCTACTGCATATTGTTAGAAAGAAAATGACTAGAAAACTCATTTAGCAAAACAGCTGCTTACGTTACATGTAGACAAGGAAAATTAGTTCTGAAATGATTGTTTTAACTTCATTATAAATGTTGCTTCTTACCCCAGACAGACACCCACATGGTGCTCTGATTGCTTCAGGTTACACAGTGTATTGGCAAAAAGTTTGTTAAAATAGATGTTTGTTTTTTAGCCAGAACATATAGATTAATAGTTTTAAGTGTTTACATGGGAATCTGATTCATTGCAGGTGTCTAGTTTAGAATCAAAGTGGATGTTAGGTTTGCTTTTTAGGATGTTATACTTTAGAAAAAATACAGCACAAGGGTTAACCACCAATGTTTCCTTATCATAGAGAGATCATATCTCTCCAGTTTTAGCTTCTCTCCATTGGCTCCCTGTTAAGTCCAGAATTTAATTCAAAATATTGCTGCTAAAATACAAAGCTCTCAACAGCTTAACTCCATCTTATATTGCAGATCTTATTGTTCCATATTTTCCTAACAGAGCACTTCACTTTCTGACTGCAGGTTTGTGGTTCCTAGAGTTTCTATAAGCAGAATGGGAGAAAGATCTATCAGTTATCAGGCTCCTCTCTTGTGGAACCAACTTCCAGTTTCTGTCCATGGGGCTGACACATTGTCCAGTTTTAAGACTGGTCTTAAGACTTTCTTTCTTGATAAATCCTATATGAGGATACCCTATATAGATTACTGAGCATGAACTTTGATGATAAATCTTAAAGTAAGAGTCTGGCAGCAGCATTTTAGATGAACTGAAAACTTATTAAATACTTTTTTGGACACCCAGGTAATAAAAAAATGCACTAGTCCAGCCTAGCTTTGACAAATGCAAGGACCAGTTTTTTTGTATCATTATGGACAAAAGGTTTCTAATTTTATTTTATATATTTTAATGTGGTGATTAAAAGACACGTTTGATCAAAAATAGCACCAAGATTTTTAACATCAGAGCTGGAGGCCAGATTAATGCCATTCAGAGAGCATGAAAGACCAAAATTTATTTCTAAACTGCTCGGGTCCAAAACCCACAACCTCTGTCTTGTTGAGTTTAAAAGCTGAAAATTAACAGTCATTAATGTTTTTATATCTTTAAGACATGCTTCTAAACTGATTGGATGCATCAGGTTTCATAGACAAATATAATTGTGTATCTTCAGCATAACATTGAAAATTGATCCCAAGCTGTTTAATAGCATTACCTAATGGAAGCATATATAAGGTAAAGAGTATTGGTCCAAGCACTGAACCCTGAGGAACTCCATGACTAACTTTGGTGTATGATGAAGATTCATTATTTACATAAACTGGAATCTATTACAATAATGTGATTTAAACCATTTTAGAACCGTTCCTGTAATCCCAATATAATTTTCAACCTCTGTAATAAAATATTATGATCAACTGTATCAAATGCAGCACTGAGGTCTAACAGGACCAGTGTAGACACAAGTCCATTGTCTGAGGCCGTGAGAATATCATTAGTAAATTTCACCAGTGCCGTTTCTGTGCTATTAATGTGCTCTAAACCCTGAATGAAACTCATCTCAGATTATTTCTGTTCAGATGTTAGCACAACTATTTTCTCAATAATTTTTTTGATGAATGTTACATTAGATATAGGTCAATAATTGTCCAGAATTCCTGAATCAAGATCAGGTTTCTCAAGTAAAGGTTTAGTTACAGCAACCTTAAAGCTCTGTGCTACATAACCATTCATTAGAGACAAATTAAGTAGATCCAAAATGGCGATATTAATCAGGGGAAATACCTCTTTAGTCAGGTTCAGGTGGGCTCTAGCAGACATGTG